AGACCCTTGTGAATGGGAGAACGTTTGCTGTGGCTGGATTCTGTTAGAATGCAGAGTCAGGAAATATTAACTCACTGGTGTGCTAAAGGGTAAAATTAGCTTTCGAATGTAATATTCAGTCTTGTTTTATTGGGGGAAATAGGGTAAATTAGAGGCACTCTTGGATATCATCTCAAAAAGTGGCTCAATTTGCCTCAATTCACTTTGGTGTTTATATTTTATGTCTAATGCAACTCGGTGTAGGCTGTTTTCCAGAACCTAGCATGCTTCATCATTGTCTATGGTCTACAAACTCAGCATCCTAAGCATCATGAAACCTCATAAGTAAATGATTTAAAGGGGTCGTGAACGGCCTACTGTTCTCTGAGGTCCACTTATAATGTTATCAAGATTTTTACATTAAAAATATATAAAACAGAAATATATATAGCAATATACATTTATAAAATAGCCCACTCAGTACATATCAAACGATCTGTAATACAAGACAAAGCAATAGCGATCACATAATAAAAAAGTTACTCACACTTGTATGGTGTGACATTGGATCCAATATAGTCAGCACAGCATTTTCTTTGTTTAAATCTTTTAGAAGATCCTGTGATGTATTGTGCCTTATTTGTTCATGAATATGTGATAAAATGAAGTGAAAAAAGGACCAAGTTCTTACTGATGTGGTCTGAAAGTTCAGTAAATATGAAGTTTATTGTTTGGTTTGGCTCTTGTCATTTACATACTGTGTGCACGAATCAGTGGGCGGGGCAAAACAGGCAGCGATGTAGAAGCAGGCGTTGATCTTCTTTTACGGAGGTGGTGTTTAGCCACAATATTACATCAGAAAGTGGCACATTCCACAGCCTGTCGTTTTGGCTGATAGGCTTCAATATAAGCTGTTTTTAGACTAATTAGAAAGTTTTGAGTTCTGAAACTTACAGAATGTTTTTATTTATATATCAAAGATCAAGGGAATTTTGATTTCTCAGTTCATGACCCCTTTAAAACTCTATATGGGCATAAACAGTCACTCGTGCACAACACACATGATGCCTTAGATAGATAGATAGACAGATAGATAGATAGATAGATAGATAGATAGATAGATAGATAGATAGATAGATAGATAGATGTGCACCATTCAGAATTCAGTTAAGGATGCTTAAAAATCTTATTTAATTGCTGTATTTAAATAATTAAGGAAATGGGAATTCAGAATTGTAATTCAAGTTGTACCGTATTTGCCCAAATATAAGACGACCCTGATTATAGGACGACCCCCCTTTTTCCAGATGTACCTTTTGGAAAAAGGCTTTTTAAAAACCAAATCTTGTTTTTTTCTCAGTAAAACACATTTGTCTTCAATTATTTTCATATTGCATATTTTTCCTATTTGAATTTTTGTTTTGAAAGTATGGTAAAAACTGGTAAAATGTACCAACAATCACATTTTAAAAATATACACTTTTTGATATACCATAAAAAAATTAAAAAAAACATGTAGCCCATCTGAATTAGGACATTTAGGCTATCCATCTAATAGTAGCCTACCAAAATCTTATTAACAGTAGAAGTTAAATCTTACTGTAGTCTTCAAATCTGGGTACTGTCTTACGTGTTAAAATCACAACGGGAGTTTGGTCCCATCAGGCTAACGTGACAGTCACGACTCATGCAGCTGTAAAGTTTTCTGCTTCTTTTGTTTTTACTCGTGATCTTTACGACACGCATTACATTACGTATTTCATGGCACACTCGTTTTATGCGTATTTGGCGCCACCTATTTTTGTGGATGTATTATTGACATGTCAAAGTCTAGACCCTGAATATAAGAAGACCGCGTTTTTTCAGATGTATTTCCAAGAAAAAAACATCGTCTTATATTCGGGACAATACGGTAATTTGAATTTAACTTGTTAACCTCCGTTAATGAGGCCTTTGCGTTACATGTATAATCACAGACTCATTTGAAAGAAGATATTTGACAGTGGAATTGCAGTGGAAGCGGAGTTACAAATAAATATAAGCAAAATTCAGCGTTTAAGTGCAGCTTTTATGCATTTTAGTGTGAATAATTAATAAATTATGCATTTTAGTGTTAATTATTAATACATGAAATATAATCAATTACAATTAATGTTAAATAATAATAATAATATCAGTTAAGTTTTACATTTTTAGCTTGAAGCTAGACTTTTTAAAATTTAATTAAGTTTCCTTTTAGTTCTAGTTCCTTGAATTCAAATTACAATATATACTATATATTCAATGTATTTATGAATTCTGAATCAGAAAGAGCTTTATTGCCAAGTGTGCTTACACACACAAGGAATAATTCATTATATCATTAGTTGTTTTTATCAAGTTAAGTTTTCTCCAAACTGTTGGAAGGACACTTCCCATAAGATTTCCCAAAATGCATCAACATCTTAATACAATTATTTAATTAGTAGATTTGAATGGTCAAATATTTATCTAATAGCATTGTAGTGGTCATTTTGTGGTGCTCTATGGCAAAATTAAAATCTCTAAGTTGTTTTGATTAGTACTGAACTGAGTTAATATTTCTAATCAGTAAAAATTTATTCTACATATGAATTATGCATGTATTCTTCAATCATAATGTAATTATTTGTCACAAACTTCCTAACATTCATTTCTTGTGTAACTGCAATTTCTTTGAATTACAAGTCAATAAATTCTATTCCGATCATACCAATTAAACTTCCTGGGGTATATTGCCAGTTCAATTCAAAATTCACACTCATGAAATGCAAACGATCCGATTCTTAAATTCTGAATTGTGCTCTACCCGGTCAGATCGACAGCTCACTAGGCTTTGGAACAAAATTCTGTCAGCATAATTCCCTCGTGGCTCTTTTGTTACTGTTTGACAGCAAATCTAAGCAGATGTAATCCAGCTAATTACACAGATTGGATTAATTGATAGCACACAGAGCCGTAAGGTCAAATAAGGTTTCACAGGATAATTCTGTGCTTTTCTTTTCCAGGGGCCCAAAGGAGATGAAGGAAGGATGGTGAGTGTTGCATCGCTGTGATTTGTATTGAATGGTCTTCTGCCCTTCTATGCCTCTGGATTGAGAGAAACAGGTCTGGCCAGCACTCGCTTTCTGGCTAGTCTCCATTAATCACAGCTCCTGGCTCAGAAGTAGCCCGAGAGCAGCCGAGCACGACAGTTTAGTCACACAGCATTCTCAACAACAAAAGGAGTGATCAGGAACGGTGCCTAAATCAAATTGTTGCCGCATATTTCTCTGCCTGTGGGAGATGTTGTGAATGCGGTACATGCGCAGCCCCCAAACAAAACCACATGCACGACAATACAATAGCAACAATGCAGCTCCAGCAACCAAAAAGCTGGCACTTCCTGTTCTCTCGGGTGCAATTTTGATATTTTTTATTGTTTCTTTTTTTGCAAAACCATTTTTCAGCGGCATGCTAATTTGACATTTGAATAAATGGTCCCAGCAGTCTCTGGCACCGCACTAGAATTGCCCCCATCTGTCTCCAGTCGATCCTCTTTCTGGTCCCATGTAGGTCTGCGCTCTGTTATACATGGCAATCTACACGTGTGACAATTACTGCCGCAATCCGTCTCGGTGGCGAGGCCCATTAACGTGGTGCCCGCTGCTGTCCGCCAATAGCGACTGAGCCGTGAGACGAACGTAATATATGATGCTTGTACGCAGATTTTTCAGCACTCCGTGGACTGGTTCGGTGTGGAGAAGCAGCCAATCACTTGGGGTGAATTACGAGCTGCTCTGTTTGCGGCGAAGTACGTGTGATTTATTAACACAGCAGGCTAAATGAAAATGGAAGGAGGAAAGTAAATGCTTTGTCAGGATGGTAATGCGACAGAATTAGAGTTAACTCGACGCACTTGTCAGGCTGAAGATAAATGTGTGGGTTTTAATTGAAATAATCAGTGACATGCCTTGAAAAATGGCATTTGGTGTTTGTTGAGTCGCTAAAATACATTACACAACCAGTTTGGTAGCTACACTGTTGTGATCTGCTTCATCAGTCGCTTTGACCTGGAAATACATTTTGAGTTTCCACTGAAGGAAACAGGAAAGTCACAACTTTCTAAAGAAATTATTTTTTCTATTCCAAACCATTGCTGTGATATAATCTTTTAAACTTCTGGCACTTTTGTGGCTCAAGGGTTGATTTGTATTATATATATATATGTTTAATTCTTTTATGCATATATATGAAGGGAACATTAAATTTGACTTGGAAACTTTTTACCATGCTTTCATCATTTAGTTTTGCTACTTTTCAAATGCCGTTATGTATAGATTTGATTGTTTTACTTGTGTCCCAGAGCCAGAATATCCAATATTCAGAATATCCAGCTAATCCATCATAAAAAAATATATAAATGTTACATTTTGAAACTATTATAATATAAATGAAAAGTAAAAATAAACCTTTTCAATATTTGTGTGAAAATGTTGGATCATGCAACATGGTGTAATGGCTGCTGAAAATTCAGTTTGTCATCATATGAAAAAAATTACATACTATATTAAAATAGAGAACAGTTATTTTTGATTGTAAAAATATTTCGCAATATTACTGATTTATTTTCTGTATTTTCAATCAAATAAATGCAGCCTTGGTGAGCATAAGAGACTTAATTAAAATGCAAATATATTATATAAAAATATTATATAAAGAAGTTATTATATAATAGCAATTATTCATTTATCCCCAAATTTCCACCCCAACAAACAATTGTGCTCCTGATGAAGTTATATTTATTTATTTATTTAAATTCTGCCTCATTTGCAATCCATCTGTAATCTGATCAAATTGTGCATATATATATATTAGGGCTGCCCTCGACTAAGGATTGTTTTGGTCGACTAGTAGGTTCATTTTAAGCATTAGTCGACTAATCGCACGTTTACTAATAAACCATTTAAATCATTATAATGATCCTTTAATTGCCTACAAAGCCTAATAAGCACTCAAGCACATGCATAAAGCTTGCCACAGCGCACCGCAGAAGCTATGATTATGATTGTGTCAGGGAAAAACAGTAAGGAGGCTGCATTAACATTTTAATAATTCACTGATAAACAAGTGCTTTCTCGTCATCTCCACAGAAGTGGATGCGCCTGTATGCATGTTTCACATGCATTATTACATAATCTGAGAATATTTTTTACATTTGAATTGGTTCATTTGAAAGTAGACATTTCACTCTCTATAGATATATTTTTAATGTCTGTAAGGCAAAGATATACTCTGAGTTTCACGCTCAAGTTTACAGACCGAGACGGCAGAAAGCGCATCATGTTGCTTTCATTATTTTACAAAAGCGCATCTTGTTGTTATTGTGAGTGCACACAAATAAACGTGGAGTCTTTACAGATTTGAGAGATGTATTACTTTTATCTGTATGACCAAAAATGAGGGAGTATTTTAAGAGCAAGTGAGCACACCGGCGCCTCCATCTGTCCTGCAGCGAGCGCTACTGTTCGACTTCCACACTCCGCACACACACTTAAACAGCGCACATTTCTATAGTTAACATTAGATTGAGCGGCCATGCAACGTTGCTGCTGTTTACATATTTCAGAAAATAAGCCATATTTGTGGTGAATGAATGATAGGCGAGCGTTTGGATATCCTGCCTGATGTACTGTATTACCATAGACTAGCCGTTAACCAATTGCGTGACTTCGCCAATGTGGATTATTTTTTCTGCGACTAATAAAATTTTGGTAGACTAACGATTAGTCGACTATTAGGGGGCAGCCCTAATATATATATATATATATATATACAGTGGGTACGGAAAGTATTCAGACCCCCTTAAATTTTTCACTCTTTGTTATATTGCAGCCATTTGCTAAAATCATTTAAGTTAATTTTTTTTCCTCATTAATGTACACACAGCACCCCATATTGACAGAAAAACACAGAATTGTTGACATTTTTGCAGATTTATTAAAAAAGAAAAACTGAAATATCACATGGTCGAATACAAAAAAAATGATATTAAATTAGCTTTAGTAAAACAATTCATTTTATTCTAAATTGTAATGCTGTTAAACATAAATACAACATTTGTGATGTTGAAAATGACACTGGTGACACATTTTCATTACTTTTCCAAGAGTCCTGAGGGCTAAAATAGTGTTTTTAATTGTTGTTATGTTTTTTTTTTTTTTTAATTGTGCCAATATTGACACAGTTTGAAAGTCTTTTACTCAAAATCACCATTTGTGCATTTCTCTTTAAACAACTTGACACCCAATAGTGACTTCCAATCCAAAATTCTTCCAAAATGTAGTGAAGTTAGTTGTGTTGTCACTTTTACTTTGTCACTCCCCACACAGACTTTCACGCATGAAGGTGTCCGTGCTGAGCTGGAATGTGTTTCTTTTATTCCAGGGTGAGCCAGGGCTGATGGGATTACCAGGTCTAGAGGGGCTGCCGGGTGCTAAGGTAAGCGCATTTGAATGAATCGTGTCACTGGACGCTCTCTCACCCTATCTGAGTGTCCCAGATTACACACAGCTTTCAACAGCTCAACCAGCCGTTCCACTCTGTACCTTCACGATTTGACATGACATTGCAGTTTTGGCGTGTGTGTGTGTGTGTGTTTGACAGACAGAGAGATGGAGGATAGTGCACAGACATCCATAATTGATTCAAACATTGTTAGTATTCTAATTTCACCGCAGTGCTTAGTCAAAGCACTCGAGAATTCAAGAGAAAGACCATGAATACAAGAATACTAGAGAGGGTAGAAATAATAGGCTTCATTAAATCGAGCCCACAGAATGGTCCAGACCCCCCCGACTGCACGTATCTGAGCGCTGGTGCATGGAGACTCTCTTTCGTCTGTCTGCCAGAGCAGCTTCCTCCTTTGAGTGGCATCAAACTCGCCCACTCTTCCCAGAAAGGACTTGTCAAGATGTAGTCGCAGCATTTCGCGCGCTCGCCGACTCCACAACAGCCACGAGGCTGCCTGATCTCAAGCTGTTTATTTGCATGCTGTGCCCCAAAACTTAAAAGCAGCTCATTAATTCCTAAAGCCAGCAGAGCGCATATAGAGGAAAGAGAGCAGCTCTCACACACACGCACAGAGATACTCAAAGAATGATTTTGGAGGACTTGTCAAGCACAGTTGGTTTTGAGAACAGAAAGAAAAACAATCATTGTGTTTTTCTGACATGTTCTCAGGCGGTTTTGCAGTAGATTCGTCATCTTACATGTGTGTGTGTTTGTGTGTTTGAAGGGTGATCTTGGCCTACATGGTCCACCTGGTGTTCCTGGTCCTACTGTAAGTTATACTGTTGTTATTTTCCTGCTTTCAAATCACTGTACTACACATACAGCTATTTATTATTTAGGAAATAGCAATAAGATAGTTAATAAGTAAATGGCACAATACACAGCCTGCAACGCCTTCAGAATTCACTATAGTCAGTTTTCACAATATTAATGGCAAAAATGTTCATGAAAACCCTAGTTTGTTAAGTAAATTCAAGAAGTGCCATCCTTCTCATAGAATAAGGATTTTCAGTTGGGTGTGCGTCAATTATGGTTTGAAGTTTTAAAAAAAAGCAGAATACATTAAGATAACTTGCATAGCTTAAGGTGGTAAATGTTTTATTGTAAAATATAAGTTTAAGCCATCGACCAATGTTGAATATTGTCCATGCTTGTTTCCCATATTTTTATATTGAGTTTGATATATATATATTATTTGTGTATATTTAGAATACAAAAAAAATGATATTAAATTAGCTTTAGTAAAACAATTCATTTTATTCTAAATTGTAATGCTGTTAAACATAAATACAACATTTGTGATGTTGAAAATGACACTGGTGACACATTTTCATTACTTTTCCAAGAGTCCTGAGGGCTAAAATAGTGTTTTTAATTGTTTTTGTTATGTTTTTTTTTTTGTAATTGTGCCAATATTGACACAGTTTGAAAGTCTTTTACTCAAAATCACCATTTGTGCATTTCTCTTTAAACAACTTGACACCCAATAGTGACTTCCAATCCAAAATTCTTCCATTTTCATTAGAGAAAAAAATGTAGTGAAGTTAGTTGTGTTGTCACTTTTACTTTGTCACTCCCCACACAGACTTTCACGCATGAAGGTGTCCGTGCTGAGCTGGAATGTGTTTCTTTTATTCCAGGGTGAGCCAGGGCTGATGGGATTACCAGGTCTAGAGGGGCTGCCGGGTGCTAAGGTAAGCGCATTTGAATGAATCGTGTCACTGGACGCTCTCTCACCCTATCTGAGTGTCCCAGATTACACACAGCTTTCAACAGCTCAACCAGCCGTTCCACTCTGTACCTTCACGATTTGACATGACATTGCAGTTTTGGCGTGTGTGTGTGTGTGTGTTTGACAGACAGAGAGATGGAGGATAGTGCACAGACATCCATAATTGATTCAAACATTGTTAGTATTCTAATTTCACCGCAGTGCTTAGTCAAAGCACTCGAGAATTCAAGAGAAAGACCATGAATACAAGAATACTAGAGAGGGTAGAAATAATAGGCTTCATTAAATCGAGCCCACAGAATGGTCCAGACCCCCCCGACTGCACGTATCTGAGCGCTGGTGCATGGAGACTCTCTTTCGTCTGTCTGCCAGAGCAGCTTCCTCCTTTGAGTGGCATCAAACTCGCCCACTCTTCCCAGAAAGGACTTGTCAAGATGTAGTCGCAGCATTTCGCGCGCTCGCCGACTCCACAACAGCCACGAGGCTGCCTGATCTCAAGCTGTTTATTTGCATGCTGTGCCCCAAAACTTAAAAGCAGCTCATTAATTCCTAAAGCCAGCAGAGCGCATATAGAGGAAAGAGAGCAGCTCTCACACACACGCACAGAGATACTCAAAGAATGATTTTGGAGGACTTGTCAAGCACAGTTGGTTTTGAGAACAGAAAGAAAAACAATCATTGTGTTTTTCTGACATGTTCTCAGGCGGTTTTGCAGTAGATTCGTCATCTTACATGTGTGTGTGTTTGTGTGTTTGAAGGGTGATCTTGGCCTACATGGTCCACCTGGTGTTCCTGGTCCTACTGTAAGTTATACTGTTGTTATTTTCCTGCTTTCAAATCACTGTACTACACATACAGCTATTTATTATTTAGGAAATAAGCTACACGCAATAAGATAGTTAATAAGTAAATGGCACAATACACAGCCTGCAACGCCTTCAGAATTCACTATAGTCAGTTTTCACAATATTAATGGCAAAAATGTTCATGAAAACCCTAGTTTGTTAAGTAAATTCAAGAAGTGCCATCCTTCTCATAGAATAAGGATTTTCAGTTGGGTGTGCGTCAATTATGGTTTGAAGTTTTAAAAAAAAGCAGAATACATTAAGATAACTTGCATAGCTTAAGGTGGTAAATGTTTTATTGTAAAATATAAGTTTAAGCCATCGACCAATGTTGAATATTGTCCATGCTTGTTTCCCATATTTTTATATTGAGTTTGATATTAATTATTCAATAAATATAATTAAATACTAATAATTTAATAATACTATTAAATGTAAGCTTTAGCAAATCTCAAAATAAATGTCCAATTTCCATTCTATACATTATAATTTTGTGATGCCAAAATTCGCTTGTAGCATTTGAAGTATTTTTTATTAATTTTATTCTTTATTTATTTACTATTTTATACTAATTTATTTTCTAGTGTTTTATGTATTTTCCAGTGTTTATTTTCTAGTGTTTAATTTTATTTTGAATAAAGTTCAACCCTATATTATAAGCTAGAAGATATATATATATATATATATATATAAGATTCTGTCTCTGACATGTACAATACTGGACTGTAAAATAACTGATATCTTTTTTTTAGTTGTGTTGGATAAGCATATTTAATGCCACAGTTCCTATGGGATTTTCTTACATTGAAGCTGTGACGGTTTAGTGGTCTGTCACAAGAGAAAGGTTTCATATCATGTATGAATATTTAGATAAAAGTAGTGGATGTTTTAACCATTTTCTCAGCCTACATGTGGTTTAGATGGACACCAGGTTTGAGGTCTAACTCTTTCTCCTTGTCGTTTCTGTAACTGATAGGGAAAGCCTGCTCCGCGTGGTGAGACAGGGATCCCTGGAGAGCCGGTGAGATTTGCTTTGTTGCTTGTTAGCAGCTGTCAATCATACGACAGGTTTTGGCAACAGAATGATGATGTCCCATTTTCACTCTTTTGTCTTTCCACACAGGGAGAACGAGGGCCTGTGGGAGAGACTGGCTTTCCTGGACCTGAAGGGCCTCCTGGATCCCCTGTGAGCAATCGTAGCATTCATTACACCTGTAATCTGCAGTGTACACTAATGAACACCTGCGTGTAAACGGCAGCAGGGCTTTTCAGATGTCTTTATGATAGGACCCACAAATATCAGAATCTTCTTGTGAGGGACATCTTAAAAAAAATATATAAAAGCCTCTTTAAAGTGGCATGCGCTTCTGTATATTGTCATAGACCAATACATACTATGTGAGGAAAAATTATATTTAATAATAATAATAATATTTATTATTTATATTTTAAGAATTATATTTATTATTTACTTAATATTTGCGCATTTGTTATGAAAATATATTATGAAAATATAGTTATTTATTATTAGCGCTGGGCAACAATTAATCACGATTAATCGCATCCAAAATAAAAGTTTTTGTGTTCATAATATGTGTGTGTACTGTGTATGTTTATTAAGTTATATAAAGACACACACATACATTATATATATATATATATATATATTTAGAAAATATTTACATGTATATTTAATATATAAACATAACATTTTTCTTAAATATATAAATGCATGTGTGTACATGCATATACATAATAAATATACACAGTACACACATATATTATGTACACAAACTTTTATTTTGGATGCGATTAATCACAATTAATCGTTGCCCAGCACTATTTATAATTATTATTATTAGTAGTATTGTTTGTTATTAATATTAATAAATGATACTTATAATTACAAATGGTTCCAAATAATTAAAATAATTTTTGATATTATGATGTATATAAACCTAAAGAGAATATAACTATAACAAAACTATTTTGGTCAAAAACTGAGCCTGTCAATATAATAGTATAACTGCAATTTATTTATTTATTTTTTAATTATTAAGATCTTCTGTGGCCCCCGAGGGTCCCTGGATCTACCTGTAATCTACCATTTATGCGGCACCTGTCTGTGATCTACACCCTGTATAATAACATTTAGTTATCATTAGTTTCTGTCTTCTGTTTTCAACTCTGTGATCTTATAACAGATTGATCCAACGTTTGATCCATCCTTGAATTGCAGACCAGATTTAATTAACTGATTAGTTTGCTGATTGATTCACAGTTTGACTCGCTGTGAATTCAGAGTTCTGGCACAAACATTCTGTTTTTCCTCAGTTCTTGATTTCTAGTGACTGGCCTGTAGTTTGATTCAGAGTCTGGGCTGTTTCTAATTAGAGATCCCAGAATGCTAAAAATCACTGTAAACAAGCATCAGGTATACTACACAACTGGAAATATAGAGGTTTAGATTGTCTGAATTACTATGTTTGACACAAATATAGTGTGATATAGCAGCATAAAGCAGAGCTCTGTGTCAGATTGTTCTCTTCAAATCACAGCGAATGTTTTCAGCTGTAATATCTCACTTCATAGCACAGAGTAATCTCCTCGTATTCTTCTCTGTACTGTGGCGTTAAACCCGGCTGGTTTGTGCTGTGGTAATGAGTGCAGTCACTGGGGTAAACGTTTGATTGGCTGTCTCAGTGAAGGAGTACAGTGGCTGTACGGGTCTCATATAATTGCTTCGTTATTCGCACAGCCGTAATGCCTTCAGCACCTCCACTGAATACACAGAATTCCCCTGAGGAATTCCGGTTTCTTCCAGGTGATATTTTGCGTTTTATTCCTAGTTTATGTAGCTTGAGTCCTAATTGTTCGCACTTAACCTTAGTGGAACAATGTGTGCTAAACTAACTACAAGTACAAACTAAACTACATCAAAGTTGACAGTATTTGCAACACATTTTACTTGTGTAATGTGACGAAGAGTAGCACCAAGAAGCGTGTGGATACTTTAGACACACTTATGGATGGATGATGGTTGGAGGATGGATGGATGATATATGATAAATGGATAGATGGTTGGATGATAGATAGATAGATGGATAGATGGATAGATAGATGGATGGATGATGGTTGGAGGATGGATGGATGATGTACAGTGGGTACGGAAAGTATTCAGACCCCCTTAAATTTTTCACTCTTTGTTATATTGCAGCCATTTGCTAAAATCATTTAAGTTAATTTTTTTCCTCATTAATGTACACACAGCACCCCATATTGACAGAAAAACACAGAATGGTTGACATTTTTGCAGATTTATTAAAAAAGAAAAACTGAAATATCACATGGTCCTAAGTATTCAGACCCTTTGCTGTGACACTCATATATTTAACTCAGGTGCTGTCCATTTCTTCTGATCATCCTTGAGATGGTTCTACACCTTCATTTGAGTCCAGCTGTGTTTGATTATACTGATTGGACTTGATTAGGAAAGCCACACACCTGTCTATATAAGACCTTACAGCTCACAGTGCATGTCAGAGCAAATGAGAATCATGAGGTCAAAGGAACTGCCTGAAGAGCTCAGAGACAGAATTGTGGCAAGGCACAGATCTGGCCAAGGTTACAAAAAAAGTTCTGCTGCACTTAAGGTTCCTAAGAGCACAGTGGCCTCCATAATCCTTAAATGGAAGACGTTTGGGACGACCAGAACTCTTCCTAGAGCTGGCCGTCCGGCCAAACTGAGCTATCGGGGGAGAAGAGCCTTGGTGAGAGAGGTAAAGAACCTCTCTCCCTCCACCAGTCGGGGCTTTATGGCAGAGTGGCCCGACGGAAGCCTCTCCTCTGTGCAAGACGCATGAAAGCCCGCATGGAGTTTGCTAAAAAAACACCTGAAGGACTCCAAGATGGTGAGAAATAAGATTCTCTGGTCTGATGAGACCAAGATAGAACTTTTTGGCCTTAATTCTAAGCGGTATGTGTGGAGAAAACCAGGCACTGCTCATCACCTGTCCAATACAGTCCCAACAGTGAAGCATGGTGGTGGCAGCATCATGCTGTGGGGGTGTTTTTCAGCTGCAGGGACAGGACGACTGGTTGCAATCGAGGGAAAGATGAATGCGGCCAAGTACAGGGATATCCTGGACGAAAACATTCAGTGCTCAGGACCTCAGACTGGGCTGATGGTTTACCTTCTAACAAGACAATGACCCTAAGCACACAGCTAAAATAACGAAGGAGTGGCTTCACAACAACTCTGTGACTGTTCTTGAATGGCCCAGCCAGAGCCCTGACTTAAACCCAATTGAGCATCTCTGGAGAGACCTAAAAATGGCTGTTCACCAACGTTTACCATCCAACCTGACAGAACTGGAGAGGATCTGCAAGGAGGAATGGCAGAGGATCCCCAAATCCAGGTGTGAAAAACTTGTTGCATCTTTCCCAAAAAGACTCATGGCTTTATTAGATCAAAAGGGTGCTTCTACTAAATACTGAGCAAAGGGTCTGAATACTTAGGACCATGTGATATTTCAGTTTTTCTTTTTTAATAAATCTGCAAAAATGTCAACAATTCTGTGTTTTTCTGTCAATATGGGGTGCTGTGTGTACATTAATGAGGGGAAAAAATAACTTAAATGATTTTAGCAAATGGCTGCAATATAACAAAGAGTGAAAAATTTAAGGGGGTCTGAATACTTTCCGTACCCACTGTATGATAAATGGATAGATGGTTGGATGATAGATAGATAGATGGATGGATGGATGGATGGATGGATGATAGGATATGAATATGGAATGATAGATGGATAGATGGATGATGGTTGGAGGATGGATGGATGGAATGATGATAGGATAGATGGATGGATGATAAATTGATAAATGATGGTTGGAAGATAGATAGATAGATAGATAGATAGATAGATAGATAGATAGATAGATAGATAGATAGATAGATAGATAGATAGATAGATAG